AGAGTTTAGGGCTGTTGTACATAGGGTCGCTATGAGTCGCAAGCGACTCTACGGCACATAACAATACCACCACCACTTTACTTATCCAGGGTTTCTATCCAAATAAACTTGATAATTTTCCTTTCAATCTCCTTGAAAAATGAATGTGGTATTTATATTGGGATTGCTTCGAATATGTAGATTGCTTTTGGTAGGATATTCATTTCCACAACATTGAATCTTCCTCCTTCCATCTTCTTTTGATGCTTCCTGGGTCACTGAACATTCTGTCGATGGCATCCTTAAGTATTACAACTTGAGTTTTCTTCAGTTCCTCAGCTAAATAAATAAGTTTGTCCCTTTTGATTTTTCAACTCCAGTTCTTTGCACATTTCATTATAGTAATTTGCTTTGTCTTCCTATGCTGCCCTTTGAAATCTGTTCAACTCCTTATCCCATCTATCTTGGTCTTTTATTCTTCCTCCGTCTTTGCATTCTTCATTTATATTCTTGATAGTCTTTCACAGCTCATCTGGTCTTCACTCATTTGTATCCAAGTCCTCAAACTTGTTCCTGAGATAGTCTTTAAATTCAGGAGGGTTAAACTCAAGGTGAAACTGATTCTTGTGGATTGGATTGGGTCTGATCCAGAATCAGCACCTGGCCTACTTTTCTCAGCTGATACTAAGCTTCTCCAACGAGTTTTCCCACATATGTAATCAATCTGATTCCTGTGTAGGCTGTAAAGTGAGGTCCATGTGTATAGTCATCATTTCTGTTTCTTATAAAAGGTATTTGCAATGAATAAATCATCGATTGTACAAGCGACTCAAAGGCATATAAAAACAATAACATACTATGACAAGTTTGAAAGCAGGAGTGGCACCACTTCCTAAATAACATGCCTCTGGAAACTCTATGAGCTTTGATAAATGTCAATAGTTATAAGAGGGGTTTCAAGCTTTTTGTTCATAGGGTCACTATGAGTCATGCTCAGCTCGAAGGCAATCAACAACAACAACAACAATATTATTTAAAAAACTAAATGGAGATATTAACCAATTCATTTTGCATCAGAAAACAAGCACTCAGCAGATTAAAATTTCAATCAATGTCACCATGAAGTATTTAATGACTTATGAAAATTTAATTCTGTAAAATTCATTAATCAGAATTCTGTTTACAACAGTGGAGGTTTTCAATTAGAAAAGTTTTTATTGTAAGAAACAAATGACATCAGGTAAAAATGCAAAAAATTGTGCAATTATGGCAAAATGTTTAAAATATCTATACATTTGCCCCCATAGGACTACAGTACTTACTACATACCTGAGCACTGAACATTGAATGCCATTTTAAACTGCTTCACATAGGGAATCTGATTCCTCACAGATCACATCCACTTTGTCTCATGCACCAATGAAAGAAGCTTGATGCTTAAGAATCAACTTTGTAAGATAACAGACAACAATGATGGAAAATAAAGAATATAATTCCTACTTTGCTTTAACTCAGTTCTACTAAGTCCAGTTTTCAACATGTAAAAATTTTACAGGAAAGTGCTACACACATTCTCCAAATGTTAAAACAAAGTTAAAGTGAGAAGGGCACGTACAACTTCTCTTTTAGTTCTCTTAACTGTCTTTTAGTTCTCTAGTATCCCTTGTGCCTTTTACTAACGTTCACGTTATACTACAAAAACGTACCTTAAATAGCAAAACAAAAATTTACACGCTACTAAACTTTGTTTTCTACGACCTCTTCTGAAACTATTTTTAAAGTGGCAAAATGTCCCTGCTATGGAATTTAAACATACAAAATTCAATATATGCTCTATTCTCACAGTAAGTCCTAAGCTTGGGGTTTGACACACTATCCTTAGCGCATACCCTCAATATAAAATGTTATAACAAAAAGGATCAACTATTGTACAGCTCAACAGAATGAAATCTACTGTAGACTTAACCACAGTATGTTGTATTCTATGTAACACGGCACATGTAAATTGCTAACTCAATATTCTATGTCATGTTTTCAAGTAATACATTTTCCTAAATAAATACAGAAGATTGTCACAAAGCGGTAGGACATCTTAGATATTCAATGAAGTTTTCAAAATTAAATTATGTGAACACCTCTTGCCAAAGTTGGTTACTTCCCACCCCCCACCCCGTCCCTCAGCAACACTGCAAAGAATGCTTTAAAAAATTCACAGAAATAGCCTCCAAACAGCTTGAAAATAAACAGTCTAAGATGAAGAAAAACTGGTGATGGGAGGAGTGAGGAGGAAGTTACTATTGGCTGATAATGTTTATAAAGAGATTATAGACACGATCAAGACCAATAGACAGAAATCACTTACCTAGTTTTCTATGCGTAAATTCTGACTGTTAATTCGATAGATGCTGTCCACCTTAGATTTTGCTTCAGAAATTTTTCCCTACTTGAACAGGTTTATGACAAGCAGTTTGGAAAGTTTCTGAAAAATGAGGTATGTGATGCAAAGAGGCAATGTTTTAAATTTCACAGTATCACATTACAATTTGTGCAAGATTTTAAAATACACACCACACCAGTTTACTAAGAGAATAAAAATGCTGTGGTTGACAGACTACGGGTTATACTTTTATGCTTTATCAATTATTTTAAACATAGACAAAGTTACTGATCCAAATTATCTGTATGAAGTCTTACAAATGAGGTGGTTTGCCCTTCTTGTTACTATTTCTAGCTGATAACTAGCAATTCATCACTTAAATATAAAAATGCTTTGGAACCTATACTGCTATGGTTCTGTTCACTTATCCTTTAGCTTCTTCTCAATTACTTTCAGTTTGAATAATGGAAAATTTTCCATCACTGTTAAAAATAAAAATGAAGGGGGGGAAAAAAATAAGGTTTATATGATCATACATAATTTAAAAGCACTTAAGTTAGAACTCTGTAGGAATTTCCTATTTCAAGAAAACAGAATTTTAAAAGTAGGGATAAAACTTCACATTATGTTCTGAGTGGAAGAGGAATAAATTACCTTTCTGCTTAAGGATGGAAAATGAGGTCAGGCAACAGAATGGCCCACGTTAGTGCAAACTGAGCATAATTCTCTCTCTAGTCTGAGTCAAGTTTGACGAACAACTGGCCATGTCTTGCTATCATAGAAGTGGAGAATCTTATGAAACCACAACCCTTCACCAAATACTAGAACCATTAAACTAACATTCCAAATTGAAAGATAAATACAGGCTCAAACCATTTAACGCTACCTAGCTAAGCACATGAATCAACTTACACTAGCACCAGCCACCTGTAAATTTGAGCCCTTTTCAGGTTAACAACAACAACAAAAAAAAAACCCAAACAAAAAAAAAACAGTGTTAGCACTTGAAAGATGTCAACAGAAAAATGCTAATTTACATTAGCTTAACTTAAAAATTACATACAGAACAGGAATCAATGAGGCAAAAAGCTTTTTCTGAGACTGATCTGTTTCTACTTCAATCTTCTCTATTAACAAAACACATTTAAATCTTAGTACACCTGAAAATAGTACATACAAAAAAATACTTAAATATTAAGAATGAGGAACTAAGTTAGCGCTCCTCTGTTTCAGAGAGGTTAGAGCTAATGTCAAGTCCTAGTGATATTGCCTCAGATTATTACCCGTATTTAAAATGAAAAGTCACGTCAAACTAGTTTGGAAGTCCCTATCCAGCAAGCCCCGTGCTGCTCCCATAGGAGTGCATAGTTGTCCTGGTTTATCTGGAGTCTCAGTGATTATTTACCACAAACTCTTGAACAATATGATCACTTTTTTTTTTTTTTAATATGATCATATTGGGGGGAAATGCTGATAATTGCACTTTGTTACCTGTTGCCTTACTGAAATGAAAACATCACAAGGATGAAAATAAACCCCTCCCCACTCTACAGTCTGGAAGCACACCCATTCCCATGTACAAAACTCCCACCTTTCTTAAATACTGACAGCATTCTGTGTCCCTATAACACAAACTGCCTCAAGTATGAGGTGTCAGTGAGCTCGCCGAGGCCTGCTCCTCATTAAAGAACTTTCTGAAGACACTGCGGATACAGTTTAGCAACCGCACATTCAAAATGCCGGCCAAGGTCCCAGAGCCGATCTGGGGTCTCATACACTTTCATCCACTGGTCAGTGACATCGTCGTATTGGTAAAGGGAATTTTTTCTGCTGGTTCTGAAGACATGTTCTTCAACGGTCACTTGAGTAGCTCGAACAAACAAATGGAGTTTATTTTGGAAAAGTACCAGTTTAAGGTATGGATTTATGGACTGATCACATGGAAAGTCCTTCTTGCGAGTCCATTTATTTAGCTCAATATCATATGCCTCTACAGTAAACATCCGCTGGTGATTTCCACAGGTTCCGGCTATGTAGTAGATTGAGTCCTTGTATACAGCTGCCAGGCCCTGGGTCCTAGGCACAGTCATGGGAGTTAGAAAACCCCAGTAGTCTTTTTGTGGCTCGTAGAAGAGAAAAAATTCTCCTAAAAGAAGAAAAAGGAAACAAGAATACACACGTTTATACAGTTGGGTTTTGTTATACAGTGTAATTCCAATCACTTCTAAGTTTACTTATAATTTCCAGAAATTCATAAATATTAGATCACAAAATACCTCAGACCTTTTTCACTCCACACAGCTGACCTCCTGCAGAGGCGTTCAGAGGCTGTAAATCTAACAGGAGACTGTCCACCTTTCTCCTATGGCAAAGCTGGTTAAATTCGAACCACCTGCCTTTGAGTTGGCAGCAAAATTCCCTAACAACTATGTCACCTGAGGGAGAGGACATCAACTTGACCCAATAGCTAATATTATAACACTCTGAACTGGGACATTCATAAAGGGGAGGTATAAGGAATTACCTTTAATTGATGGTGGAAAAAAATCAACAGTTCAGCTCCAATTGTTCTATCTAATTATATGTCATAGAAAATTTAGTTTAAGTAAACTTAAAAAATTAATATTAGCCAGAAAGAGAGGTGCACACATACACAATGGGTTCAAGTGTATCAGAGATGATGACGACGGCTCAGAACAAGGTTCCGATTCTTTGTTCAGATTCACGTTGAGTCACAGGAGACTCAGCACACCTAACAACAATAGCACACAGGTGTATATATAAACTTGATCATAAATAAACCACTATAAATGTGCATGCTAATTATTTAATTAAAAGATGGCAGATACATAAAATTTTTTATAAGAGTTTATGCCACTTCAGTGTTGCTATCTAGAATTCAAAGTATTCCAAGGCAAAAAACAAACGAGTCCTATTAAGATAGGAAATGCATACACGGCTTATGGTATTCACTTTTAATTATTTTCTATTTTATTTTGACAATAAGAGGGGACACTGAGCTAGTATGCCAATGTGAAAACATCTTAAAGAATTCATCTAGTAAAGATTTACCAACTATATTTATATAAAAAATTTTCTATAAATAAATGAACCCTTTAAGAACACATAAAATGATACTGCAATAACCAGAAATAGCACAACAGGAGCTAACTATTCATTTTAAGTTTATTTATGTAAATAAACTTTGATTAAGATGAGAAACACCTGATTTTTAAGTTGCATTTTCCTTCAAAACTGTTTGAAACTAGGTTTACACATTCAATTGCATACTTAATAGTATAACCAGCAGCCAAGTGCGCTGCAGTCGGGCTGAATCTGATGAACAGCGACCCTGCCTCGCTTTCTGAGTCTGTAAGTCTTCATGGGCTCGCTTAAGACCATCCCTTTTTCTCCGGTGGAGTGGCTGGGACCTTTCAGTTAATAGCTCCATCTGTAATACACTGTCACCAGGGCTACTTTCCTTAATAACAGTGATACTTTCATTTCAATTTTACTTACAAAAGCTTGTTAAAGCACTAGTTTTTGTTTGCACAAACTTGCACTTATTGAAATTTCTAACAGAATTTTTAATAAAGGTAAGAAAACTTTCTACAGTGGATTATGTATGAATGTATGTATGGTTAAGAGCTCAAAAGCAATCTATAAAAAAAGTTTCAAGTTAAAGTCCACCCAGAAGTATATGAAAGAACTTCCTAGTGACCTACTGCTAAAAACAAACAACCTACCCCCCCCCAAACACACACACAAACCAGTTACTGAAAATGCCCATGGAGCATAGTTCTGCTCCGACCCACATGGTATCTCTGAGTCACAGTAGTGCGGCGTGGTTTCACGTCTAAGATCTCCCTACAACTGGGCTCTAAGGTGAGCACCTCCACTAGGGAGCCACTCTCTTCAGGATGCCCAAACTTAGAAGGTCAAAGCAGCAGCATCTGCCCAAGGAGAAAGTCCAAAAGGAAGGAAGGAAGGGGTAAGATTCACAGAAATGAGAAGTACATGAAAGAAGCATGACAACTAATACTATAAAACAAAATGGGTATAAGTGGTTGATGGAAACCCATTTGTTTTGTAGACTTAACACACACACACACAGAGCAAACAGGCTTAAACACAGCCACCTGTAAGGATAGTGCTTGATCAGACACAGTTTTGTTCTGTACATGGAATACGATGAGTAAGAGCTGATGCAACTTCACCTGACAACATTCCTCTACAAATTTCTTAAAGATGAAAAATGTCACCAAAAAGTTGACTTAAAATCTGAGGTCTCCTTAATAAAGCAAAAACAGGACTGAGTAATTGAGAAAAACCTCAGGGCCTCAGATTCCTATTACATAACACACAACCTCAGATTAAGCATGGTTCTTTCCAGCTCTGAAATTCTACATACACTGCTATTCTGCTTTAGCATTTACATCAATTTACACCCTTTACCTTCTAACTGGAATTTTTAGAATGAATTCTACCTTTCTACTTAGAGCACATACTGGCTAAGTTACATATTTACTTTAACTTTCCATTTTCTGACAAGATCCAACAACCTAAATCAGGTCCATTCTCTGTCATGGGAAAATAAGGCACTGAAAATTAATTTTATATTCAAGATTTTCTCAGATATTTTAAGTGAAAATATTATCACAAAGGCTATAGTTTATTTAAACGAAATAAAAGCTGGAAAACCATCCATATCTTCAACCTTGTTGAAGTTGCCCCTTTTTCCTTGAGTTTTCCCTTCTTTTCATTAAGAAAGTCATTCACTCTCTAAATGCCATTGAGTTGAAACTGACCCAAAGCTGACCCTCCACCATGGTTCAGAAAATATAAATCACACAGGATGAGATTACCCATCTTTCTCTTGGGGAGCAGCTGGTGGATTCAAACCGCCTGCCTCTGGGCTGGCAGTGCAACTCCACACACAGAAAACCACTAAAACTTCTGAAGCTAGTGTGAGGAAAATATTCAGATTGAATCAAGTAACAAATGCAGAAGGGGAATAAAGGTTTGGTATTATGGACATTACAGGCATCATTCAAGGAACTCAAATGTATAGGAAACCAAGCACTGTGAAAACACTGTTGTTGTTACATACTGCTGAGTCAACTCTATAAACAAGTCAAAAACTTGCCCTATCCTGTGCCAGCCTTACAATCTCCTCCTTGTGCAAGCCACTTATTTTAGTCACTGAGTCAATCAAATCAAAACCAAACACCTTTTTTTATGAATCAAATATTTTTTGAATCAAGTATCTTTTTTACATCTCTCAGTCATTTCCCAGTTATCTTTTATCTATCATTTTGGCCAGAACATTAATCTCTTATTTTTCTGAGGGACAAAAATAATTAAGTCCATTAAATGGCCTTTCTTACCAGGTAGTAGTTAAAAAAAAAAAAGGGAACATCTACAAGTTGTCAATGAAAAAGTTCAAAACACAGGGTTATGGAAGGCAAATTATATTAGAATTAAAGTATGAAGACTGTAATTTCAAACATTTTACAACTAAGTTTCATAACATTTCAATACAAAATGCCTTGACAAGCATAAATTGACTGCTTTGTTTTTTCTCTTCTAAACTAATGCACTGTGTTCTAGAAGAAAAGCAATCACTACACCTCTTGACTATACTGAACAGTAAACAGGTGCTGATGTTGCTTTTTTCTTTAAAGTCTTAAAAAAGGGCTCTCAAGCTGTGGTTTCCAAAAAAATGTCTGAACTACTATTTATCAAAGAATGTTTTTTAAAAATACTTATTCCACATGATATCGAAACATAGAAAGAATATAAATAACTCACAGGATCATTTTAGTTACTTCAGTTAGCTCTTATCTACAGAGATTTTTTTTTTTAATGCAAAAACTTCTCTTCATAGGTGCTTTAAGGAACAGAACTGCTCCAACAATTTATAAGGAAGCCAGAGGTATTCGCTTCCTGATTAACAGGAGCAATCAGAAAAACCTGAATAATTATGTTAAACCATACTGGATGTGTCGCCCTTCCATGGAGAATGAGGCACCTACCCTGTAAAACATAGATCTTCTCTTTGTACTCCACAGCGTCGTGAAACTCCATTGCAACAGGCATCGCGCAAACAGTCTTCCAACAATTCTCTCTGCTGTCGTAACACTCCACCGATTTAAGTGAGTTTCTACCATCGCCTTCATAAACACGGCCTCCAATAGCATACATTTTACCACAGCAATATACCAGTTTGCAGCCTATTCTGGCCCGAAGCAACGAAGGTTTGGATATCCATCTATTGGTAGTATGATCATACATCCAAAAATCATTTTCTGCCTTGTGGTCTATGGAGACCTCACTGCTGCTGGGCCTGTACCCCCCAGCTATGTAAATGTCATTGTCCGGTGACACAAGAATCCCAACTTCTCTCAGGTCATTCGGTGGTTTGCATAGTTTAAAAACCCTTCCTGTGGCTGTATCTAGACAAGGCACCGTTTGCTTCTTTCCTGAGTGTTTGTGGGCAGCATCGAAGCATATGATCATTTCAGAAGCAGTCATTCCAAGCCTCTGGGTACAGCCATTGGTACCAGAAGGTCCCTTTTCTACACAGCTTTTGGCAATGGCCTGTGCAAACTGAGGTGGAACTGTCTCGAGGAAGGTATCTTCCATCAGAGGAAAACGTATGCATTTGGCAAAAATTTCCGGAAGGTGCACTTCTCTCTCGTTCTGTTCATACTCAAACCACCTTATAATGCTTTCATAAACATGCTCTTCTCGGTCTACGTTCAAATCATCACTGTCTAGTATGCTTATGAGCTGGTCTTTTGTCAACTCAAGAAACTCCTGTTCTTTGGTGACACATAGAAACTTCTTACGAATGTATTCTTTTGAGCGATCTCGGAGTTCCTGATGACCATAGTGATCAGCAAAGATGAAGACCCCGATGGAATTCTGTGGCTCCAAGTGACTAATCATATATTTAGCACACTGGTCTTGGATGGAAGCAATCTGGAAGATACTAGCTGCGGTGAACAAGGCCTGAACATTGGCTTCTGTCAGCAGAACTCGGGAGGTGTAGGCATAGCTCAAGACTAAATCCATCGATTCGGCTTCGACACCCACTATGCGCACTTCTTTCTGTGTGCTCTCGGTAAGGCCGCTGGTGAACATGGATCTAAGGAGGAGAGAGGAGTTCATTATCTGCCTGCTACAAATAAAAATGTATCATGGCAAATTTGAAAACACAGAAACTACTGCACAGGTAGTCTTCTAAAATGGAATGAAAATGCTCTACCATGTTTACTGGTATTCTGAAGAGGAATAAAATTGATTAACCTAACAGAAGGATTGACTTTAGCTCATCTCAAAAATTCTATTATCAGCGCAACCCTTTTTGTGTCAGTTCTGAAAATAAGAGACTATACCTAATTAAAACAAACCAAGATCATAAGCATACTCTAAGACAACACTTTCCCCTAGGACTCCTGTTCAGACTTCTCATCAAGTTGCTTATGTTGTTGTTGTTAGGTGCCACCGAGTCAAGCATGACCACAGGAACTCTATGGATGACTGATCTGGACAAGGTCCTATCCTATTCCATCTGAAACCTGTCCTATCCTGCACTAGCCTCAGCTGACCCAAAGGCCACAGGCTCTCTGGCACCCTAAATTCAACAACAGCATTCCTGAGGGAAAAAAGAGAATCAATCTCTTTCCATATGATTTACTGCCTCAGAAACCTAAAGGAGGATGAGCTATGTCTTGGTTCCAATTCAAAGCAGTTAATTTTTATAGAATGCCAGTGTGATACATTAGCATACAAAGAAACTAACTAGCTACCCCTAGCGGTAAGACTATGAACTGCATCCCAAAGGCACAGGGGTTCAAACCCGCCAGCTGCTCAAACAGAGCAGGATGGCCCATCTCCTTCAGTGAGATTACTGCCTCCGAAAAACTGCTGGAGGATCAGCTATGGGCCAGTTCCAACTTGATGGTACACACAACAACAAGTGGAAATTATTAAGAGGACTAATCCCTAAAATTTATCTTTGAAAGTTTAACCTTAGAAAATTAAGATGCATTTCCTCTCCCAAATCCTTTTTAAACCTTTTGAGTGGCTCCTTAATCATTATAAGGCATGTAAAGAACACTTAACCTTGGACATTTTGAAAACCTGTTTAAAAAGGTAAATCTCATTTCTCACTATTACCATACTTAATGTATTTATTTATATCTGAGCACTATAAAGATTATTGTAGAGTTAATACAGGATATGAGTTGGCTAATACTTTGTGATTAATGGTTTTTAAAATCCAAAAATTCTGCCTTTGAGAATAGAGTTGGTAAAGCTTGCTTATTTGCTAAACTAATGTCAAGACATTTATAGAAACTTCTTGGTCAAAACATTAAATAGCCCAAAGCCTAGCTTTTCATATTATATTGATAATTTACAAATATCATTTGATTTCCTCCCCTTCTTGAATGTTTCTTTCTACAGTTTTTAAAATTAAGTCTAAAAATCAAATCAAAAGCCAATTTAAAAGCGACCTGAAGAAAGCACTATGTGCCATTATCTCTGTTTTCACATTCCAGGATATTTTACAAATATTTGTTGAAGAAATTAACCTAATATTTAACATAAAGTTGAATATTTAGGTCTAGACCCCTCCCATTTTATTTTAAAGTGATATATTATGAACTGGAATTGACTCAACAGCCACATTTTTTGTGTTTTTTTAAATGTTATTAAAATATCCTTAAATGGGAAGATTTCCAGATACCTTTTTAAGTTTTCATGAAACATATGTAATTAATTTTAAAATGCAGTGTGAGAAGTACTATATTTATACAGAATACAAGGACTCTGCTTGCTGCCGTATTTAATCATCTTTAAAGTGTTGGGTTTTTTTTCTTTTCAACAAAGTAAAATTTAAGTTTATATTGCACAGGTTTTTCTGCTTATTAATACTATATGTTCCTATGTATGGCAGGCTTTCAATTCAGGTGCTGAAAGGCTCTATGGCTACCAATTAAAAATAAAAATAAAGTCCTTCATTAGGCAGAGATTAACCCCCCAAGGAGAACATTATCACATATCCCTTCATCATGGGAACAACTGATGACATGAATAGGTTGGTCACACACAGATGCAGTCTGACATTCGATAACTTCTCAAGGGGGTAATTTCTATTTTTTTTTTTTAAATTCTATATCTAAAAACTATACAAAGAGGGAATACTTCCTCATACAAATTCTGAGCAACAAGAAGTTAGTAGTAATCACGCAAATTTTAATCCTGGCAAGTTACTAGAATCACAAGAGTCAGGCCTGATTTCTAGCTACTCACATTCATACACTAGTGATGCAAGACTTCAAAATTATGAAGTAATGCCTTTCTAAATCCCACATAAGGAACAGTCCTGCCACCAAGAAACTTATTCCATGAAAACACCTCTAGCAAGAAATAAGAACCTATTCTTAAATGTCTAGCCAAATAAATATATTCATTCAAAGTCACATTGTCATATGCTTAGAAAGTTTCTCATAAATTTCCTTACCTTCTTAGAAATTATGAAAAGCTACGGTAGCATAATTCTCTTACAGTAATTCATTTGGATAGTCAAAACATATTTTAATCATGACATTTAAGTAAAATGTCAATAAAATTTTCATTTTGAAGATTTTTTTACTACTCATATTTCATAGGTAATAAAAGCTCTTCAAAGTCATCTTGAAGAAGGATTCCTTTTACATTTTCACATTCCTTATCCTATAGTGACTTAGTTCTTCTGGCTTCTTAGTCTGGCTCTGGGATCAAATCCTGCCTTTGCCGTTTCCTAATTAGAGGATCTGATAAAGCACTCAATTTCCCTGAGCCTCAGTTTCTTTACATGTAAAATGAGGATATTTGTGCAGAGACAGGATTAGAAACATCACGTAATGCAACGCATGAAAAGCAAATGTGACATATCCAAACACAAGAAGCATCTAACCATAGCTAACCTGAATAAATTAATTACCCCTAGTAGTTTCCATTACCGGGCCATAGAGTTTATTTTCTGGGTGTGAGAATGTCATTTTTTTTTTCTTTCCAGCAATTTCAGATGATGATAAGTACTCAACAGTCCAATGACTTAATCCCAATTAAGTCTAAGTAACAAACATCAGACTCAACTATACTGATATATTTAACCCAGTATTCTGAGAAAGGAAACGGAAACCAGCCTCTGGAATAAAGCATTACTCTCTGTTCTACAAAGGTAAGTACTTTCAAAGGGAAAAAGCACATTTAGAGGTAGCTGGGAAGTTGATTTTATTATCATTCATACATCCATTCTGAATACTGGAAGACTTGAAAATGTGAGTATTTGAAGCAAAACAAAAAGCTAAACTCAGGCTAGAAGCCGCCTTTGTGCCTAATTTTAAGAGTATGAATGTCACTCATTTTACAATTTCACTTCAAAGTTTTATGATTCACAAATATTAATATAAATCAAAACTTAGCATACAGAATACTACTGAAAATCTTGGAAATAATGAGGAGGATAGGGCCTAAGGCACACAGAAATAACTCATTTATTTGCACTGCACTAATTTTAACACCATTACATTAGAACAGTCAATTGCTTAATAATTTTTTAAAGGAAGAAACTTTCATACACTTACATGTATTTATGAAGTATGTATTATGAATAATATTTTGGAATTCTAGATCAAAATTCTAATAAAGCTTTCAGTGATGAATATATTCTCTAACTGAATGATCCAATATGGCAGCCACAAGCTACACTTAGGGGGGCCCCTGGTTGCACCGTGGATTACGTACTGACCTGCTAACGTAAGGGTCAGCATTTTGAATGCACCAGCTGGGTCTTGGAACAAAGATAGACATTCTCCTCCCACAAACACCTACAGTCTGGGAAACTCAACCAAAGGTCTCTCTCTTATGAATTGGGCAGAGGTGGGCAGCTCCATGTAGGTACTGAGCAATGTGGCCAGTGAGCCTGAAGAACTTCATTTCTAACTTCTGATAATTTAATAGTTACACGTGGCTAGTAGCTGCCATATTAGGCAGAACAATTCTAGAATGATCTGGTCTTTTTCGTAAAGCAAACATCAGTGGACTAACTTATAAACTGCCTGCATTTTAGAAGAACCATGTTCAGTCAAAAACAAAGGCTGAGTGAATGAGGAAGGAACTGTTTATCAGGAAACACGCGCTGCCTTCTTCTTCCTCAGTGTAACAAAAGGGGCGCTGCAGGGGAGGAGGGGGCGCCCAGTGGACACCAGGAGTTCCCACCTTCATCATACCTGAAGTAGGGGCTGATCGCAGCAAGGACGTTTCTATGACAAGAAAATGTTTTCCCGTGATCCACTTCCACTACAATGTCTGTCAACTGCCCTTCATCGTACATTGTTTTGAGTTGCTTAAGAATACTGCAAGCATGGAAGGGGTCCATGGCATCACTGGCAGGGTCTGCAGACGGAATCCCATTCGGCGTTGGGGAAGACTTACTTAAATCTAGGAGAAAAATCGTACAACCACAAGAAGTTCTGAGCCAGTTACAGGGTCGCAGGGTTTTTATTTGTTTG